TTGCTATTTGGCCCCGCAATCCGCAGGACAAGGTCTTAGAGTTCTGTCAGATGATGGGATTTGATGCTGCGCAGCATCTCCGAATCCTTCCGTTGGAGGGTGCCCGCAACTGGTGTCCAACAGAACTCAGTGTGCGTCAACTCTTCTCCCATGTTTTGGACATTTTTGGCAAGCCAAACAGGAAGTTCTTCCAGACTTTAGCGCTCTTTGCAAAGGATGAAGCAGAGAAGAAGCAGCTCCAAAGCATCGTTGAGAACAGCAAAGAGGGCGCAGCCCTCTATCGGGATTTGACTCATGACTTCGCTCACCATGCAGATGTGCTGAAGAAGTTTGCAAGTGCTCGACCTCCCATCGAACACTTGTTGCAGATGATGCCAGTGCTCAAGCCCAGGAGCTATTCCATTGCCAGTTCTCCCTTGATGCACCCAGACAAGATCCAACTTTGTGTGGTCTTGGTCGATTGGACCGTGGAGAGTACCAAGGAGCTTCGCTTGGGCGAATGCACAGGCCACGACCTTCTCCTTTCGAATCCTTTTGACATTGTTACACAAACCAACACCAAACAAACACCAAGAGAGAAACACTCATATTTTTGGGTGATCAAAAGTCTGCCTGTTTGTGCAGTCTACACACCGCACGAAGGCTACATGCAGATGCAGAAGCCCGGTGCACAAATCATGTGTGCTGTGCGATCCAGCGCCATTGTGCTGCCCAAGGACGTCCATGTGACACGAGCGTCGTGAAAATGCAAATTCGTGAAAAAGCTCCCCAAGGGCTCCTGACCTTACTGCTAGGAACGATCGGACGCTACTAGGGGCTCCTGGCCTTACTGCTAGGAACAAGAAGCTACTAGGGGCTCCTGGCATCGCTACTAGGAGCGATCGGACGCTCAGGTGGTGGTGAAGTCGTGAATTCGCATACGATGTCAGGAGCCTGAAAAACCGGTCATCATGGCTGGTATGGGCACTGGATTGGCCCCATGGCGTGCGGTCACTCAGGCACCATATGAGTGCCAACTTCACACTTGCAATTTATCCATTCAATGTCGACCTTTAGTTGATTTGTTTCTATAATGTTCTGTTTGCGTCGCCATGTCGGTGCCGCAGCATCACTCCGTGTTGCTTTCGTGAGGAGCGAGTGATGCAAGCAAGGCAAGGCATCAAGGTTGGGAAGTGCATGTTGTTCTTCGGTGCGCGATACAAGCAGGAGAGGGCAACGATGTCGGTGGGGTCCCGTCAGCTTCTTTCTTTTCATTGTTTTTCGTTATTTTTTGTTGTGTTTGGGGGAGGAGGGAGGGTGGGCGCTAGTAGAAACAGAAGACGACTCTAGACTGTAGCACACGTAAAGCCACTACTATCAAGGACACAAAAGAACTATGAAAGACATTAAGCGACATATAGCGACATGTTGTTCTGATTCTGCTTGTTTTAAAGTAACCAATTCAGCAACATGGCCGGAGGGTCACGCGAACTTTGGTCAGCTTGCCTCCAGGAGTGGCTTTATCGCGATGAATTCGAGGGCTATGAGAAGGAAGGTGTCCTGCAGATGCACACAGCCTTCTCACGAGAACAGGCAGGCAATCCCAAGCACGCTTTGTTTTTGCACGCTGAGAACAGGCAGGTTTGCCAAGTTGCCTTGCTTTGGTGACAAGGCCCGGAAGATTTACGTGCAGCATCGAATAGTGGAGGCAGAGCAGGGCCTGTTTATGTTCAAAAAAACAGATGTTATAATTGGTGCGTGGTTTATCCCTAAGCCGTGTTCAATCCTGATAGACAGGCTGGCGCTGATGTGGCAGAGAAGATGCTGAACCAGGGAGGCCACTTCTACGTTTGTGGATCAGCACGGCAAGTGCCAGAAGATATCTACACCGCCATGAAGGAGGCGCCAAATGGTTCAATTGGACCATTGTGGACCTATATATATTTTCTGACGTCTTCCCCAAAAATATTTAACAACTCTTTTCTCCTGGTTTGTCCCAGAACCAGAATTTTGTCGTTGATAAAGTCTTGATCCCATGCATCAAAGGTCAAGCATATGTTAAGCATTGTCAGGTGTACGTTCCTTTATGTTCTCTTGCCGCTAAAAAACAAAACAAGGCCAGCACGTGCATCAAACTCCTTACAGTTCAACAGATTCGCCTCCAAGGTTGCGGCTGTTACCCTCTTGGATCAGATGGGTTTTCTTGCCCTCTTGGATTGTCTCCCTCCTTGTTTGCCCTGAATTCTTTCACCTTTTTCTTTTTCGCATTTTTTCGTAGCTTCAGTTCACATCATATCATGTGCCCTCCCGATTGTTCACCGTTCCCTGTCTTTTGTCCGGCCATGTTCTCTCCCTCAGTTCTGCAAGGTTATCCAAAGGGTATTTCTTGTCTCCTACCTATTGCATCCTATTGCCCTTCGCGACTCTGTTAACTTCATTAGTGTGCTCTGCAAAGAATCTCCGTTTCTCAGTCAGCTCTCGCCAGGTGATGATGGCGCATGAGAGATGTCCCGAAGAAGATGCAGAGGCCATTCTCTCGAACCTGAAAATGGAGGGACGCCGCTTGGAGTGCCAAGATTTTATCGCACATATTTTTGTCTTTTTTGTGAAGACCTTTCTTGGATGTGCTTTTATATATTTATGTGTGCAACAGCAAAATTGAGGTTACACTGTGGAAGCTTGGTCGTAAGCTGAAGCTCGGGGCATGAAGCTCGAAGCTAGCTTAATTGTTTTGTGTTCCAGACTCCTGTTGAGGAACTTGTGGCTCACAGGAGTTTACTAGCAGCTTCGATGCTGCTACAAACTTCAATTTTGTTGCGGCAGGACGTGCCAAGATTACACTTGAAATTACATCTGTGTTTACTACACCATGACAATGGAGTTCTTTTTTTGGGGGCGGACAAACCTCTCAGTGGCGCTGTCACAAAGCATCACACTTCACCACTGCAGGGTGAGTGGGTGCGTCTGGTCCTTGATGGATGTCTATGAGCTCAACGAAGCGCATAGAAAAAGAAATTCTGGTGGATGTGCTCAAGTGGACAGTCAGTTTGCAAAGGGACATGTGCAAAAGCACGTAGCGTCATGACACTATGCAATAATTCTGACTTGGGAACGAACTCATGCAAGGAAGCATGGGGGAGTCCTTGGAAACTGGTGGTTACAGTGCTCTTTTAGGAGAAACCCCTGGTATGCAAAGTAGGAAGCAGGCGCGTAGCTGGGCATCCGAGGTTGATCCCGCCAACCAATCGATGGTCAACATAAAACAGTTCTGGCTATAGAAAATTTTGAAAAAGGTGATAATGGGATGAAGATCCGAACATGAAAGCACATGTGCCACACGAAGCTTTCTCGCTGTGCTACTGCTACCGTCATGCTTATTTCACATGCTGTCACTGTAAATTAGAGTTTTAGAGCCTCGATTCCGCTTCATTTCATATTTGCAGCTTCCTGATCGGCTCCAGCCACCTGTCTATATATATATATATGTCGAACACGAACTCAACTGCAACAAATAATTGCCCAGTGGCTCACCCATGCCCAGTCCGTTCAATTGCTTTCCAGAGGTTTTGACAAACCATATTTTATATCTTTGAGATGAGTTGAACGTGGCTGAGTTCCCAGCTTATCCAGCTTTGGACATTTACCATGTTTTGCCGAGCTCGAAGGTCATTCCAGCATTGAGGTTGATTGGGAACGATTTGTGTATATATATATATACCACATATTCGCCCAAACCTTTCTTTGACAAATGATTCTCCCGGCACTCGCACAATGCCCACCTGGAGATGCACAGTGCTGTCTCGCACGTGTGCCATTTTGGTCACTTCAGGGTGTGCTATCCTGGCGACACAACCGGCTTGGCGCTATGTCAGACATGAAGAAACTGTGAATCCGGTGCTTTTCATTGCAAACAGAAGTCTTGAGGAACGACAAAGCAATAGCACAGGTCCAAGAAGCAGCCTTGAAGCAGCTCCTGCTCCAAGCAAGGTCCCTGAAAAAGACTGACCTTCCAGTAGTGACTCTGACCCTCTTCGTTAAGACATATAGCAGAATTGTAACGTTGCGGTGGCAGCATCTCATGAACTTGGTTTGCCAAACCTCTTCCTGGTGGCTTTGGATATGGAATCTGAGGCGCTCCGCCGAAACTCCTCCTCCCTGGCATGCCGTTTGCTTGTGTCAGAGGGAATTGTAGCGCAAGAGCTGATATCAAAGATGCTGGATCTATGTGGTCAGCTAAGGCTGATATTGTGATGTGGATGTTGAAGCATGCAAAGACCGTGTTTTTTGTGGAGATGGACATCTTCCTACAGCGCAATCCATTCCTAGCAGATTGTGGAGCACGTTGCCTAACTTTGCAGAGGAAGAGACTGATTTGTGGGTTTCACAACATTTGTCCATCGACTCCATCAATTTTGGCTTGTTTCTTCTGAAATCGAATGCCCGGACGTTGGTCTTTTGGGAAAGATTTCAGCAAAGTTGGAAACAGAAGACTTCAAACGAAGGGGCAGCGGACCAACGGGTATTTGACAAACTGTTGCGTGAAACACCCAAGAATTTTGGAATCTCATAGAAGATTTTCTGATTTGTGTCGCTGAGTCCATTGCACTATCGGGAAGTCCGGAATACTTTTTCTTGCCAAGTTGAGTTAGTCAAAAATAGAAATGTACTGTAAGTACAAGATTGTACAATGGCGCTGCAATACAACGCAAGATGATACAACGCAAGATGATACAAGATGTCCATTCAGATCCATTGCCATATGTTTTGTGCCGTAATTTAAATAGCCATGTGGGCTTGATCCATCCTCAGCCGGAGCTATGAGGAACTTGCTTCGCGTGGAGAAGTTGGATCCACGCTACTTTGCCTTGAAGGAGTGGCGGCATTGGACCTTTGACATCGACGCGCTTGCGAGGGGAGTTCACTTCTTTGAGGGAAAGACGCGACATCCCAGTTCATGGAGTTCACGGCTTCGACAGACGCGGATGCTGGTGACGTGTGCGCGATACATGTGACGTCGACCGGGACGACGAGCAAGCTGCTATCGCTGAGCATGATGTTGAAGCCAGCTGCAACGTTTGAGTGCAGACCCTTGGGGATCGAGGCGGAGGGAATCTAGGCATGGAAAAAGAGGCAACATGTTCATCGTTGAGTTGATGTTGAGGTAGTTCACCAGTTCTAAAGGCTTCAAGCTAGCATTTCAGCGTGACGCCTGCAAAATACATGACAATACAGTAATCTAATAAATAAGACCCTGGGCTTCGCGTTCCAAACGAAAGAGGCCGTATTTTGGACCGAGGAATGGATCCCAAAGTTTGCTGTGCTTTGAATTGTGGAAAGTGTGACCAGCGAGGATGTCCTGGCAACCCAGCCACAAATGGTCAGCTTTCTATTTTTCGTGCCTGTTAGTTTTCTTGCGCAATGATTGTTCTGCAGCTGACCTCAAACAGGATCACCCCAAATGCCAAGTTCCAGTTTTTTCCCCGAACAGTTTACTGTTAGGGGTTCTCAATTCTTTCTTAAGATGTGTCCGCCCTTTGTGTCACTGGCCATGTAGCATTTCTATTCATGTGTCTCCCAGGTCTGTCACTGCTGGCGTCCGCCCTTTTCCCCTGGCCATGTAGCATTTGTATTGATTTGTCTCCCAGGTCTGTCACTGCTGTCCGCCCTTTTCCGCCGGCCATGTAGCATTTCTATTCATTTGTCTCCCAGGTCTGTCACTGCTGGCGTCCGCTCTTTTCCCCTGGCCATGTAGCGTTTCTATTCTTCTGTCTCCCAGGTCTGTCACTGCTGGTGTCCGCCCTTTGCCGCTGGCCATGTAGCATTTCTATTCATTCCCCAAACAGTTTACTGTTTGGTGTCCGCTTTTTTCCGCTGGCCATGTAGCATGTCCATTCATTTGTCTCCCAGGTCTGTCACTGCTGGTGTCCGCCCTTTTGGTGTCCGCCCTTTTCCGCTGGCCATGCAGTTCTATTCATTTGTTTCCCAGGTCTGTCACTGCTGGTGTCCGCCCTTTCCCATTGGCCATGTAGCATTTCTATTCATTTGTCTCCCAGGTCTGTCGTAGCAATTCTATGCGCTTGTCTCCCAGGTCTGTCGCTCCTGGTGTCCGCTGTCACTGGTGGTGTCCGCCCTTTTCCGCTTCATCATTGTGTCCGCCTTGTCTCCCTTCTGTTATCTTTTGTCTTGTTTCCTTTTTGTCTCCCTCTTGTTGGTCATTGTGTCCGCCTCGTCCCTTTGTCTCCGGTCTTGTCTCCCTTCTTGTGGGTCACTGTGTCCCCCTTGTCCCCCTTCTGTTTCCTTGTGTCTCCCTTCTTGTTTCCCTTTTTGTTGGTCATTGTGTCCGTCTGCCTTCTTGTCTCCCTTCATTGTGTCCGCATGTCTCCCTTTGCCTCCGGTCTTGTCTCCCTTCTGTTTCCTTGTGTCTCCCTCCTTGTTGGTCATTGTGTCCGCCTTGTCTTCCTTCTGTGTGTTTTTGTTTCTGGTCTTGTCCCCTTGTTGTTGGTCACTGTGTCCGTCTTGTCTCCTTTCTGTTTGCTTTTGCCTCCCTTCTTGTTGGTCCTTGTGTCCGCCTTGTCTCCCTTCTTGTCTCCCTTTGTCTCCGGTCTTGTCTCCCTTCTTGTTGGTCATTGCGTCAGTCTGGTGTCCCTTCTGTTTCCTTTCTTCTCCCTTCTTGTCTCCCTTCTTGTTGGTCATTGCGTCCGCCTTGTCTCCCTTCTGTCTCCCTTTGTCTCCGGTCTTGTCTCCCTTCTTGTTGGGCACTGT